GTGTAATTCAATGTTTATATGAAACTAGCTGTTTCAGGGAGGCTTTTTCTTTCAGATTTGTGACTGAAAATTACTTTTTTTGCATGATATACACATCTATGCATACATTTACTTTCAAAATTGATAAATCCCTTCCTTTGGAAGATTCCCACATTTTTCTGTATCAAGATGAGTAGTAGAAAACCAAATGCTCTCTTTCCCAAAAATTAGTCACTCCTAAAAATATAACCCTTTCAAACATTCAAGAATTCTTGCGAACGTGGTTCAACTTGTTTCAAATACAAAACTGAGGAGAAAGTCTCCTAAATATTTGTTAACGTATAAAAAAACGCTAATATGAGATTTCCACTTGAAAGTTTATTAAATTGTGTTACGTGTTTCGCTATACAATAGCATCTTTGGTCGTCACAATAATAATAATGTTCGCTGTTAGGAATCACCAAGAATAGAACAATCATATTATTATTCCAACATTTGTCTCTACCCTAATTCGGCTCTTGTAGTACTCACTGAAAATCTGTGAAAATGTCTGCATAACGGCCCAAAATTTCCCAAGTCGAAAAAGCAGGGGGGGAAGGCTCCCCTCATTCCCCCCATGGCGACGGCCCTGCAGATCAATATATGTTTTTGTTGGCAAAATGTTTCATAATCTGCTTCAAAGATAAATTTGTTGAAGGTTTCAAAGGTGTTTCAATTGTTTTTCGTATTTTAATCTACTAAATATCAAATGAGTCTCACGAATGTTTATTATAATGCACTAATCAATGTTTGCACAAGTGAAAAAACTTGAAGTGACGAATCATGGGTATATGGTTATGAATCGAAACCAAAGTCCAATCGTCCCAATGAAAGAGCCCAGGAAAGCCAAGACCAAAAAAATAGCTCGCCAAGTTCGATCAGATGACAAGATTTTCCTCACTAATTTTTTTCGTTAACCATCGCTTAGTGCATCAGGAGTTCTTACCTCATGGTCGTACAATCAATAAGGAATACATATTATTTTGAAAAGATGCGCCGCTTGCGAGAAACAATACGGAGAAATCGTCCGGTATTGTGGAAAAATGATTCATAGATTTTGCATCACGATAATGCATCTACTCACTTGTCACTGTTTGTTCTTGTTTTTTGGCCAAAAACAACACCGTAATCATGCCACCGTATATACCAGATTTGGCCTCATGCGATTTTTTCCTATTCCCTTTATTGAAGAAACCCATGAAAGGACGGCGTTTTGCGACGATTGAGAAAATAAAAACCGAATTGCTGAGGGAACTCAAGGACAGCTATATCAACTCTGGACTATTTCTATTTATAGCAGTAACTAATTCAAATGTTGGTACTATTTTGGGAATTATTGAATAATTTGAGTTTTTGATTCTTAATGAGATGTAGAAAATTTTAATGGCAAGTTAACTACAGACAAGCTTTGGTTTGCAAGTTTTGCCCGTTTTAATGTCATGTGTTACTGTAGATCAATGAATATTAATTCTGCTATGTCGTGGTTTATGCTGATCGAAAGAGAATTTTGTACTTTAAACATTGCTGCTGTTCATTTTTTCCAAATTTTGATTCATTTGTCTCGTTTCAGCTTATTTCTATACAATGTCGTTGAGCGATTTTTGGCCAATATTTCTCTACGAATTCAAATTGAACCAAAGCGCGGCCTAAATAACAGCCTGAAAAATTAATCAGGCTTTGGCAATGATAATGTTAATGAATGCAGTGTTCGAGATTTGTTTGCTCAATATCGTTCCGGAGATTTTAGCCTCGAAGATGAGCCCCGAAGTGGTCCACCCACATAGTTGATGAAGCTATCATTGATAGCTTTAATTATGCTCCACATTAGAATAAGTGCAGTTATCTCAAGTTTCTCCATTGCACAGATGTTTTCCTTTCTCTGTCTCTATTAATTTGATGGTATAGGTACCACCAATTCCTTGCATGTATTCAAATTGTCTAACCATAGAAATAAAATTATGTCATCATAAAATTATGCCTATATTTTCATTCATTTTTCTGATGAGCTGTTTGTCATTTGGTTAGCACCATCATCGGTAGAAATTTTTTCGAATCAAGCAACTTGAATGCAGCTGTTGTGATTGGCAACACTGGCACTGCCACAAACTCTACTATGACACTGGCAACATGGATCTTTCATTCAGCGAGCACATGTTTTGCTTATATTTTGGCGGCTCAGTTTATTAATAAATAAATCAATTAAAATGAAATATATTCTTGTAACGGGTGGTGTAATAAGTGGTGTTGGTAAAGGAGTCATTTCCAGTTCTTTTGGAGCGATTTTAAAATGTTGTGGTATAGAAGTAACATCTATTAAAATCGACCCATACATTAACCTCGATGCGGGGACCTTCTCCCCATATGAACATGGTGAGAACTAATAGTGTTAGGAAAAATGATTTTTATGTCATTATATAGACAGTGGCAAACTCCTGAAGGAAAGTAAAAAAAAATAAATACATCAAAGAAAGATGTATAGATAATATGCACATAAGTCAATCAGATTCAAACCCAAAAAAAAAGCTATCCCAAAAAACTATTTTGACATAGAAACATTGGATCCCAAAGAAATAACTTTTTCTCATTCAGTTTTCATTCCAAACACAAGATTGCTACACAATGTTGTATATAAACAAGAATTCATATAAAATTTCACTGGCATTAAATGGAAAGTGTTTTTGAGACTTCAGAATAGCAATTAATCACACCTCGATTAGTGTTACAAAATCGTTCTACCACAGAGATTTGATTTTGTTACTGAATTGGATATTTCTCAATGTGAAAAATAAATGCATTATCCATTTGTATGTCACGTCTTGAATTCTGCATATAATAAATATGTATGTCTATGATTTCATTTTATCGCTGATGAGCATGGCTCTGCTCCTTGGTTGAATAAAGTTATATGTTTACAATTAAGGGAAGCTGGACAGATTTTATTTAGTCTTCCTTTCATTCGAAATTGCTTGTTTTTGAATTTTATTGAAAGTAAAAAGTTAATAATATAAATCAAGTCTGGCTACCTACACCTAATTACACATATATTAGATCCTTAAATCAACCAATAGAACGAAACCACCTCCCCTACCGAAGGAATAAAAATGAAGACTTGTACTTGCAATGTATTATCTGCTGAATGGACAACTAGAGCACTTCGTCCATTTGATAATGTCTACTGCATTCGTAACAGACCCTGGTAAAGTTGCAAATATATTCAACAACTTCTTTATATCAGCCCCCCAAAAAATCAATTTGACATTCCAAAAATCCCCCTTGAAGATTCTGCAGATATGCCCAATAAAACCTTACAATCCATGGTGCTACTGCCATTCACAGAAAATGATATGATCCACATCTTTGCGAAACTCAAAAATAAACAATCCGCGGGACCTGACGACCTCCCTTGCGATGTAATAAAAGAATTCAGCTCATTTCTATTATCACTAGTCACCCATATTGTGAATTTTTCTTTCGAGACAGGCACATTCCCTAGTCAACTCAAAACATCAAAAGTTATACCTGTGCACAAAAAAAAAAACTATTGAAATAAATTGGATAATTATAGGCCAATCTCTTTAACACCATCACGTACTCCGGCAACATTAATTGTTGATGACATTTCCAGAAGAGGACGTGAAAAACATCGTTTTTCACGTCACAGCAGATATATGCTGCTGTATCATACGTCGCATCGTGGTTTTGTTATTATTAACACGCTTTTATTAACTTCACCTCTATGTATGTATGTTTGTTTGTTTGTTTGTAACTCCAGAATTATCGGGAACGGGCACACTTGCAGACCGATTTCGGGTTTATTAGTCACTCATCAGTGCAAGATAGTGGCCATCATCGACCTAAAGTCAATGATATTCCATCATTGAAAATTGGAATTTTTTCAGAGTATTTCATTCATCTTCGTTAGTTGGAGCAAATAACAAAATGTCACTCCATTTAGTGGACGAGGTACTGACGGATATAATCCAACGCCTTTCGTGGTATTAGCCAGGGGAGTAGTTGTTTTCTGATATGCGTCAGTCCATTCGGTCCATTTTTAATCACTTTGAATACCTCACTAGTTGTACAATAAAAGAGAGCATCTATATCATAGCTTGTNAATATTTTAGATTTGGCTATGTTATGTAAGTTGTTTTTCTCACCATTGCTGAACATTTTCCAAGTCTCTTGTACCAATGATCAGTTGTTTACAGTTATGTATAAATATTCCATAATAACAGTTTTATTCATACAAAAAATATGTTTTTGCTGTTTTTTGGATATTTAACCTTCCACTATCTTAAATATTGATCAAAGCCAAGTCTATAGAGAATCTGCCTCAAAACTTTTGACAATTTGCAAAAGTTAACTTGTTATTTTTCAGTTGTACCTCATATCACTGAAGCAATCCAAGAATGGGTGGAAAAAGTAGCTCAAAAACCAGTTTCAGCCTCCGGCAAAACTCCTGAAGTCTGTATCATTGAACTGGGGGGAATTGTAGGAGACATTGAGAGTATGGCCTTTGTTGAAGCATTCAGGCAATTCCAGTTTAGGGTCAAACGTGAGAATTTTTGTGTGGCTCATGTATCTCTTGTTCCACAGCCAAAAACAACTGGCGAACATAAAACTAAACCAACACAATCTTCAGTTAGAGAATTACGTGGACTGGGTCTATCCCCTGACATCATTGTATGTCGGTCAGAAAGGCCGATAGGTGAAAGTGTCAAGGAAAAAATTTCCAATTTTTGCCATGTTGCCCCACAGCAGGTTAGTAAATTTTCTCATTTTTACTTAGTTTTTTGTAATACGTCAAAATATTGAGCTCTGCGAAATTAAGAATGATTTTCAAGTCTTGTGACAAAGCAAGTATCAAGAATTGCAGACCTATCGGAATTTTCAGTTCAATACCCAAATTATTAGAAACACCATTTTTTTGCTGTATTATCAGTATATCTTGGGTGCTTTGGAAGATAAGTTTTTTCAGTGCATTTGATACAGTCAACCACAGTATTTTATTACGTCCAATCATATATTCATATATATTCATATATATCCCAAACAAACCACTTTAGATGAATGGTAGGGATTTTCAGTTCTTTTCATCAAATATTGATGAATTTAATTCAGTGATAGGCATTGTTCAGAAAATTTAACAGAATTAACACAACTCTAACCAAAAAACTTCTCTGATCATAATTGTTTTCAAAATTGTGTATTTTTCTGGCCTATTATTGTGAGTAAAATGTACATTTTTCACTCAGTGTTTGTCATAGCTGATTTTTTATCAATATTATTACAACTATTTTGATGATTGCCATACATTCGATTATTTATTCAAGTAACACTTTAACAATATAGTAACATGTGTTTCTGTATACAGTAGCTTCCTCAGTCGTTATCATACTCAAGTGTTTTCATAATGACTAGGAAAATTCTTTTCTATATTCTCACTATAGAAAATAATTTTACTATGCATAGTGGTGGCCAAATTGAGAGAGAGTTGTAGCAAAATATTTGTTCTGTTAGGCGTTGTAGCTTTTTCAAGCTTGCATATTTATTTAGAATAATAGCTAAGCTAGGGTACTCTGATTCATGTAGAGATGCTTTTAAACAGCTAAAAATTCTTACAGTTGCCAGCACCTACATACTAGAGGCTAGTGCATGCGTTTTCAAAAATAAATCCATAAGGACACTCCTCATCCGGTGGTCATAGATATGGCAGAACACAATACTGGAGCTATGGGGGGCACAATGAGATTGGGGAAACAAACAACCGTATATTTACATTTATATGTTTTTACATTTACTTTTATAATTGACATTTTCTTAGTTTATTGGATAAGAAATAAATAATATCATTATTATTATTATAATTAAACCACAACCACATATTGAGTTCTCCCATCCATGACAATACATCTCTTAGTGAAGTTAGTAATAGTGAGGTCAACATGTCGAAGCTTTTAATAAGTTGATAGATACAGAATCACAAGAAAATCCATTTATACATGACATGTTGGTAATTAAATCAGTAGCAGCTACATCCACTTCTATGGGCACTTTTCTCTAGAACCTCAGATATGAAACCCAACAGAAAAATTGGGAAATAACTATTAGTTGAAATTTTATATATTTTTTGACTTCTGTAAAATAATATTTCCTAACCAATTTGGTGCAATTTTCAGATCATCAGCGTTCCAGACTTGAAATCAGTGTATGAAGTTCCTGTTTTCATGGAAAATCATGGAATGGCTGAATACCTCAGCGAAAGATTAAATCTCGGAATAACTCCTCTGCCTCCCATGAAGAAATACATGACCCAGTGGATTGATCTGGGAAAACGAATGGCTCATCTGAATCAAGAAGTGACAGTTGGTATTGTGGGAAAATATACCAGACTCGAAGATTCATATACATCTATTACGAAAGCTTTGAATCATGCTGGCAATAAAATTGGTTATAGAGTTAACATCAAATTCATCGAGGCCTCAAACCTTGAGACAACCATGCTTTCCGATGATCCAGCTTCCTATCATAGTGCGTGGCATTCATTGTGTCTGTCTGAGTAAGTATTATTCACAAATATGTTATTATAAAAAAATTAGTATTTATTGAACTATTTCTTCATCCGAAGGAATACATTTTCTTCGTATCAGAGAATCTGACTTGCTATAGGCCTCGTATTAACAGGTTGAGCGCCAACTACTCCGATCGGAGTATTCATTCGTCGTTGGCTATAGGCAGTTTTATCTGTATCTGTAGAGTAGGGAGGGTGAGTGTAAGCCCACGCACTTAGGCCACATGTGACCCATTGTACATCCTCCCGAGGAGTTGTCCTCCTAGGTCGTCGTCCATCCATCCATCAGTTTTAGCTGTACTGGTGTCCTTCTAAAAACACTTGTTGAGCACCTGTTATAGTTGGTTATGCGGTTTTTATTTTTTGTGTCTTTAAACATGGACCTTTTGGATTGCAGAAAAAAGAACGTAATTTACATGTGTACAGTAAGAAAGCACTCACAGATGAAGAATCATTGCAGTGTTTGGAAGATAGTAGTGGTGACGAATATTTGCCAGAGTTCGAAGACGAATATCCCTCCGAATCAGAAAGTGATTCAGATGCATATGGTGATGACCAGTCGTTAGGAAATATTCCAGTTTTGATTGTAAATACTAATTCAGCATTGACTAATGGGCAAAGGAATTTCAAGTGGACAAAAACAAATACCTTGAAACAGTTCTTATAATTGACGACACAAATTGCCTCAAAAATATGGTCAGCAGTCAACCTGTTAATTACAGAAATACAAAATAATACAATGAAAGTTACAAAACAATAATATAAATATAAAAGTGAATGAGTTGAATTTACAAATTAACAACAGTAAAACTAAAAGTTCAGTATATAATTTTTTTTTTCACAAAATTCATCTAATGAGCAGTAGGGTTCCTAGTTCAATGAATATCTATCTAAATGAAATAAATAGCCTATTATTATATTATCTATGTAAATTGTATATTGTGCCTCTAAGTGCACAGAGTTTGTATTTTTAATTTTGTATTTGTACACGTTTTGACATACTCAATGTCATCTATAGATGATCCAACTGAATAAATATTACTATAATAATTATTAAAAAAATCATTGAAATTATTGAAATCAAACTGGAGAATCTCGGCTCTAACTGTTTACACATCAGAGCACATCAATTATTGCTAATAACTTGAATAAGGTTATTTACCAAAAGATTGAATAATAATAGCCTTATATGAGATCTCTGAGTTACACCCAATGGTACCCAAACTGGTTTAGAGATAGAACTTCCAACCATTTTGAAAAATATTTTCTCTTACCTGTACTTTGGTAAATTTTTCAGTAGAAATATCCGTCTACTCCTCATTTAAAAAATAATATTCTGATCATATTTGTTCATGAGGTCATAATACTTCATAACAATGAATGCAATTCGATCTTAAAAGTTAGATTTTTTTTTTCATTGTAGCTGTGTTGTGGTACCTGGTGGTTTCGGAAAACGAGGCGTTGAGGGCAAAATTGAGGCATGTAAATGGTGTCGAACTAATGATAAGCCATTTTTAGGAATATGTCTAGGCTTCCAAGCAGCAGTCATCGAATTCAGTAGAAATATACTCAAATTAGAAGGGGCAAATTCGACCGAAGTCTGTAAGGACACTCCTCATCCGGTGGTCATAGATATGGCAGAACACAATACTGGAGCTATGGGTGGCACAATGAGATTGGGGAAACAAACAACCGTATTCAAGTCATCAGCCGCAAATAGTAAAATACGTGAGTGAAAATCATGGTGTACATGATCTAAAAATGATTATATAACATGTGTGTGTCGAAGCTATTTTCCAGGTTTGTTGGCCGTGGTATATATGTTTTTATGCATGTCTTTTCATCTATGACTTCGGTAAACAGTATTTGTGATGAGGTAATGGAAGAAGTTCTTTAGTTGTCTTCACAGCAGATATCAAATTATGTATTTGTATGTCTATGATTTCATTTTATCGCTGATGAGCATGGCTCTGCTCCTTGGTTGAATAAAGTTATATGTTTACAATTAAGGGAAGCTGGACAGAAAAGCACGGTCAATTACTACAGCTACAACTGAGTCTATAAACAATATTCTGGAAAAGCTTGACAAAAGAAAATGTCCAATTGGAGGATTCTGTGACTTGAGCAAAGCTTTTGATTGTGTACCACACAATCGGCTACTAGACAAATTCTGGGCACTCTGCATTAGAGGAAAAACACATGATTGGTTCAGCTCGTTTCTTGCAAATAGAAATCAATATATATCATTATCTCATAACAAGAAAGGTCTTATCACTACATACTACTCCAGTACACTACCTATGAAAGTAGGTATTCCTCAAGGAAGTGTAGTGGCTCCAATTCTGTTCTCCCTATATCTGGCAGACATCGTGAATTATCTATCAGAAATCAAAGTTATCTTGTATGCTGATGATCTGTCAATCTTGGTGTCTAAAGAATCTTATGATTCAAATGAACAAGCTGGTATTGATTTGATGCATAAAATTGCAAAATGGTTTTCAAAAAATAAGCTGTATATAAACCCAGCAAAAACTGAATTTCTCATCTTCCATACAAGACAAAAATAAATTGAAAATATCAACCTGACCTTAAACAACACTAACGTTAACCGTAATACCTCTATTAAGTTCTTAAGTCTAAATATAAATGATAAATTAAATTAGGAAACTCACGTATGTACTTTAATAAAAAATATTAACACCATAATATTTCAAATACGCTGTATGCATAAGGTCCTGACAACTCCAGCGATGAAAAATTTCTATTTTGCAGAAATTCAGTAGAGACTGGCAAACGGAATCATAGTATGGCGACAATCACCTGCTGCCAAACGTCTCTTCATTACACAGAAAAAGTGCATTCGTGCCATGTTTTGCAAACCCCAAACAGAATCTAGTAGACTTCTCTTTAGAAAGCTACAAGTATTACCCCTTATTTCTCTTTACATATTGGAAACTGCTTGTTACATTTTCAAACATAGAAATACTTTCCTCTGCCGAAATGACATTCACGCTTGTTCCACCAGGAATCGGCATTTATCATTTTAACTTTTTACTCTGTAATTTTGCTTTTTGTCTCTATAATCCAAATTTTTGACATGTCTTATACCACTTGTGGTCTTCAGATTAATAATAAATTTGATTTGATTTAAAATGAAAAGTCTAGCATAAGAACCTGCAGATCACGCCCAACAAATCCAGAACAGTTTTGACAAGTTATCCTTAAAAGCTAACAACATTTGATGTTTCAGAGCGTTTATATGGAAACAAAAGCCAAATCGATGAAAGGCATCGACACAGGTACGAAGTCAATCCAGAGTATATAGCTAGAATAGAACAAAGTGGACTTCAGTTTATAGGTATGATATTTTGAAAAATATGGGGTTCTTATTTCAATTTAATTTTTCAAATGAATGAACTTTGCTTTGAGCAGCAGTGTTAGACAAACAAAATCACCACTCTAGAGTTTTCGATTGTGTGCTTCAAAGAATAAACACCCATTGAGTGTTTCTTCTTTGAGTCATATCTGAATGTATCTTGAATATTACATTGTTTTGAAACCAATCATGTTTGAAATATATGACTCCTCAAGTGTTTCTGGTTTGAAGAACACAGAACTTTTTTAATTCATTTCTTAATGTATATTGAATATTACATCGTTGAGTGTTTTTTCTTTGAAGAACACAGAACTTATTTGAATCATACCTGAATGTATATTGAATATTACGTTGTTTTGTTTTGGAAACAATCTTTTTTTAAAGTATATGATTGCATTTACACATCGGTTGTAATAACAGACAGGAGTCGTAACATCCACTGTCTCTAATTACAACCAACTTGCAAAAAACTGTCAGGAATGAGAAACATTCTAGATTGAAAAATTAAAAGCTACAAAACTGTTGAGGCTATAACTGAGAGAGGAAAATGCATATAATGAATATTACAAAGTTCACTGTTCACAATGTAGCATTTTCTCGACTCTGGCTAACGGAAATACAAATGTAACACAATAGCAGATTCTGTCATCCTTTACATATTTCGAAAAAATGGATTATTTTCAAATAAAATTTCCATTTACTTCACTTTTCCTTCAATAGGAACTTACAAGAAAAAAGATATTAGTTCTTTGACAACCTGTATCTCATCTGAGCAAATTAATCTCTTCAGGTGTGGACACAGACGAAAAAAGAATGGAAATATTGGAATTGGATGACCATACTTACTATGTAGGCGTTCAATACCACCCCGAATATCTTTCGAGACCAATGAATCCGTCTCCTCCATTCATGGGACTAATTTTGGCCGCCAAAGACCATCTCAAATCGTACCTTGCTCGAGGTTGTAAACTGTCTCCAAGAGAATCTGACTATTACGATTCAGGTGAGTTTTATTGTTGTCATGTTTAAAAATTAGTTGGAGTTTTAGGCTATAGTTACTATATGCCTCTAAACAATGTTTTGTTGATAATTTATATTAATTCCAGAAGAAGAATTTCCTGTTCTGACTGTCAAACTGCCAAATGGAAATACGGATCAGGATGATAATAGCAGTGCTTACAGCAGTTCCAGCATACCTTCGTTATGAAATACTTTAGCAGGATTGTTTGATTCTTCCTGTTGATTATAGTAACATTCTGTTCTGGGATTCAAATGGATTTCAAATGTTTGAATCAATAACCAGCCAAGTGACTAGTCGTCATGTTATTTCTTCCAAATAATTGTAAATTATTTCCTAACCTAAGGCTAAAAATGAATTGTCCTAAGAATTTATAAATTAAGTTTCCATTGATTTGTTACCTTGAAGGTTTACATTTTTTGTAAATAAAATAATGCTAGGTATGTTAGATACCTTTGGTGATTCAAATATAAATATATTATTTTTGTAAATGTAAAGTGAATATTTTGGTTTTGTGGGACTTGAAATTTTCATGAATAAGGTTATAAAGAAATCAGTTTTGTGTAATTAGTTGTTATCTTCTATTTTCTTTTCACTTTAGGGGTTAATACGCATGATGACAGATTTTGAAATACTGACATATAATGTTGCAAAATTATAGTTACAACATGTAGTCTACTCGAACGTAATATTACGTTCAAGTAGCATACATGTAAAAACTAGAAACTCTGCCATAAATTTGGTGTTCGTCTATGACTTCGGTAAACAGTATTTGTGATGAGGTAATGGAAGAAGTTCTTTAGTTGTCTNAATAAAACGGTAACAGTGGTACAGTGGGTCTATGATTGAGATCCACGTCACAAAATACTGATATTATAGCCCATTTCAGCATATCTCAACTTCTGAGAGTTGTCGTTCGTATGGGGGCGACAGCTGATTAACAGAAAAACATATTTTAAACAGATTTTTTTTATTAAATATGAATTCAATGCGTGTTTGGTAATCCATTGATAAGGTTTCATTGAATAAATACATCATTTTGGTGATTTTTACTTGTCATCATGCCTATTGATGTTTTTAGACAAATGAATAAAATAACCTGTTTCATTTGTGCCAGTGATTGAACTGTCAAGTCAAATCGTGGCTATAACATGTGAATAAATATTTTTCCAAAACATTTCTTCAGTTATAATTGAAGGAAGTTATAACTTCCAATTGTCATTTAAAATCATAAACTTCAATATGGAGTTCATTGATATAGAAATACAGTTCACTAGGTGTAAATTTTCGATTAGAACAGGTGAATATTTGTTTCTGTTGACAAAATGTTTCATAGTCTGCTTTAAGGACCCAAAAACAAAAATAAAAAGTGCTGAAGCTTTCAAAGGTGTTTCAGTTATTTTCCATATTTTAATTTCTTGAATATCAAATGTGTTATAGTATTCAAATGAGTCACGAATGTTTATTATAATACAGTAATCAAATAATCTCATAATATAACTTGCAGTGTCACTTAGAAGATGTCTATAAGTGTGATACAAGTAATTTGGTCAAGATTTGCCTGAATTGATCTTCCAGCTCATCATTTAAGATATATAACATGAATATCACGCATACATAGATTCTGTAACTTTTGTAAAGCAGATACCTTATTTTGGTCAAATGAGTGAGTATAAAAAACTAGCACAATAATCAAAATGGGGTTGGATTACACAATTATATAATGTAATTTTTGAGTACATCGAAAGCTGAGATGAAATTCTTGAGAAAAAATATATTCCACCATGAAACCTAAGTATTTGAATTCACTTACAAACTCTATTACATCACCTGTAATTTGTAATATTATGTTGAGATTGTTGACGAGTGATAGCTTATAATCAGTTGATAAGATCATATATTTTGTTTTGGAGGTGTTGAGTTTCAGTTTATTGCGATTCATATACTTGAAAACATTTCTTAGCTCATTATCCATTTCATCAGCTACTGTTTCTATATTATCTCCTGAAATTGATAGAGTGTTGTCAGTCAGGCTTTCTACTACTCCATTTTTTTTTGTATCAGATGGAGTAGTAGAAAGCCAAAAACTTTCTTTCCCAAAAAATCTGATTTTTATTCCACAACGAATATTTGAAATACAAACTGAGTAGAGAAAAGTATCTTCTGTATAATTCAGTGTTCATATGAAAGTAGCTGTTTCAGGAGGACTTTCTTTCAGTTTGTGTCTGAAAGTTACTTATTTGCATGATCTACACATCCGTGTATAGAGTTACTTCCTTCCTTTCTTTGGAAGACTCCCTCATCCTTCTTTTTTTGTATCAAGATGGAGTAGTAGAAAGCCAAAAACTTTCTTTCCCAAAAATTAATCACTCCTAAAAAATATAACCCCTTCAATTCAAACTTTTTTAGTACTTTTTCTATAATAACATTATATTTCTTGGACTTTGTCAATAAGATGCAAATCTTCGGACAATAAAGTATATTTTGATTTGATTTGAACTTTCCATAAAGACCGACTTGTACTTGGTGTGTTGAATACCTTGTTTTGATAATAGTGTTTCCTTTTTTCTTTCATCAATAAATGGTGTTTTTCTTAGTTTCTTTATATGCAGGTTCAAGAATAGGATATCAATTTTTCAGCATGAACAAATCTTTCAAAAATGTTATTGATTCATCCACTAATCTCTTGTTATCTTTACAATAGAATGTTTCTGAGCAAAATTTATATTGAGAAGATGAAGTATCGTATCATAGAAAATGTTGAAAGCCACTTTGAATATGTCTATGCCAACGATATATTCCCAATTTTCCAGTTTCAAGAAAATAGAAATGGATAATGGATTTTAAAATAAGGAGGTTTACTAATATGAATTGCCTGCGTTCTGTTTCGGTTAGTTTTTGTGTTTGACCAATGCTCTATAAATTTTCTGTTCCACTGATTTTGTTTTATCGTCGTTTTATTTTTTGTTATATTATGTTATACTCGAAATCAATTAAGATGATCAGCTATAATAACTCTGGGCTATTACGTTGATATCAGTAACAAGTCCAAATGTTGGTACTATTTTGGGAATTAGTGAGTAATTCAGGCTTTTCCCGAGTAATAATTTTCAATGAGATGTAAGAATTTCAAATGGCAAGGTTACTACAGATCAAGAAACATTTCAAGCGATGAATAAAAAATTAATTGGTAGTAAAAAACATTTACTTTTAAAGAAATTTCAATTTGGAAGTATTAGGTTTTTACAAAAGTTTTTTTCGTTTGAATGTCATGTGTTTTGTACTCTATGCATTGATGCTGTTTATCATTTCCAAATTGTTTGCCTCTTCAACTTATTTCTACATGATATCGTTGAACGATTTTCGGACAATGTTTCTCTACGAATTCAAATTGGACCAATGCGCTGGCAATGATGAATGCACTGTTCGAAGTTGATTTGCGAAGATGAGTCTCGAAGTGGTCGACCTACAGTAATTCAGGACGAGGATTTGAGGACCCTGGTGGAGACTGATCCATCAAAAATGGTACGTGGGATAGTGGAAGAAAGGGACGTCAGTTCTCATGCGGTTTTCGATGGTTTGAAACGTATTGGAAAGGTCGACAAGGTCGAAAAGTGGGTGCCCCACGATCGACAGAAAGTGCCACGTTTCGAGTTTTGTTTTTCTTTGCTTTTACACAACCAAAACTATCCTATTTTGGATCCGATCATCACGTGTGATGAAAAGTGGACACGTTCAAGACAGTAGTTGGACACCAATGAGCCACCCAGGCACTTCCCAAAGGCAAAAACCCACTAAAAAAGAACAAGGTTATTGTATTGGTTGTCAGCGGCTGGTGTGATTCACTATAACATTCTGCAACCGTGTCAGAAGAGTCCTATTGTGAGGAAATCGACTTGTACCGAAAATGCGTCAGCAGCAGCCGGCAGTGGTCAACAGAAGAGGTCGGATCCTGCCCCACGACAACGCTCGTCTGCACATTTCAAAAATCACCGTCCGAAAATTGAGCGAATTGGGCGTCGAAGTTCTGCTTCACCCACCGTATTCCTCTCGCTAACCAACTACCACCTTTTCAAGCACTTCGATATTGGCAAAGGTGCACTAATTTGAATGTCGCTTTTTTTGATTAAATTGAATAAGTATTCACTGAGATATTATCACAGAGTTTAAAGTAGACTCATAAAAACGGCCAAAACTCTTGAAACAACCTAATATTAAAACAAAAAAAATGAACTTTCTTTGCAGAAAAACTGGAAATGTACCTATCCTTCTTGGTCAAGTACAGTAATGACATTAATTTTGTCATTTATCTAGTTAGATTCAAGCCCTTAAAAGAGTCTTATGGTACATTATAAGTTCGCTATTAACTCTTTATCACTTTTGATATAATATAATTGTATCATTTCCTAATAAATAAGATTTATTACTTTTATCGGAACCAAAAATCTACTATGAAGAACAAGATATGAAACCTTCCGGGAGATTATAGGGCCTAGCATCCCCAATAACACTGGAAAAATTAGGGTTTTAAAAATGATTTTTAGATATTTGAAAGCAAGCACATATATCCCTCCATTTTAAAATTTTTGAGCAAATTTTTAGGCAGACGGTTGGGTATCTGATGTCTATCTGATAAAGGGATATGGTATATGGTAGCTCCACTAGTAAAAAATGAAGAAAGATATACAAAAGAAACTATTGACATTCTTGAAAACAAGATATAGTTAGTAGTATCAAATTATTTTATGTGGGTCGACATTGTTTGATTTATGTTAACCCCATCCGTAGTTTTGAATCTTGAAAAGCTGTTAATAAAGCACAACAAAAACAAGATTTTTTCTTTGATGAAAATATATTCAATCAAGAATATTATTAAATGAAGAAAAACAATACGTGTATTTATTTGATGATTCGATTGGTTTCATCATTTACATATTATTTTTCTTTTACATTCTATGAACTTTTAGAACGTGCCTGGAAAAAAATTATAACATTTGATCTTCACAGAAAAATAATAATTTGAAATGATGTCCCTGGTCTGGAAGACCCTGAAATCATGGTAAACATGTTGAATTTGAGTGTAATTTTAGATAATCATAATATAACACAAAATCATTGAAACTATTGATAATCTATTGACTTTAACAATGCTTTCACTTCCTGCAGGAATTGGAGAAGGTGTGATAGTGGACGTTGCGGAAGTGGTGCCGTTGGTGATAGTTGTGGGAGTGGTACCATTGGTGATACTTGCGGGAGTGGTACCGTTGGTAATAGTTGCGGAAGTGGTGTCGTTGGTGATAGTTGTGGGTGTGGTGCCGTTTGTGATAGTTGCTGGTGTGGTGGTGTTGGTGTTAATTATGGGTGTGGTGCCGTTTGTGATAGTTGCGGGTGTGGTGATGTTGGTGATACTTGTGAGTGTGGTGCCGTTTGTGATAGTTGCGGGTGTGGTGGTGTTGGTGTTAATTGTGGGTGTGGTACCGTTTATGATAGTTGCGGGTGTAGTGGTGTTGGTGTTAATTGTGGGTGTGGTGCCATTTGTGATAGTTGCGGATGTAGTGATGTTGGTGATATTTGTGGGTGTGGTGCCGTTAGTGATAGTTGTGGAAGTGGTATCGTTGGTGATACTTGTGGGTGTGGTACCGTTAGTGATAGTTGCGGGTGTGGTGGTGTTGGTGATAGTTGTGGGAATGGTGCCATTGGTGATAGCTGTGGGGGTAGTGTCACTGGTTGGGATACTGGTGGTAGTGCCGTTGGTAGCGTTGACGATGATTCCCCGCCACTCGAGAAGCAGCGAAAATAATGCTACCGACTTCGACAGAAATTTCTACGGCGTTCGTTTACGATATTTAAACATCAGCATATCGTTTTCGATTGTAAATAATTTGAGACATCAGCTTGTTTTACTTACCTGATCCACTTGGTTTTGCGTGGTAATTTTGTTAGCAATATCACTTATAATTCTGGATATGGAGTTGAAGTTTGGATATCTAAAACAGAAAATTCATTGTAAATTCTCAGGATTTTATATTTTCTCTGTGTGGATAAAATAATTTAAAATTCGTTTTCGATGTCAAGTTAGGTGATGTGCATACCTGTCACCGAAATAAAACTTAAAACGTTTTGTTCATGTGGCTATAAAATGTTACTGCCGTTGAATTTGAATTAACGTAAAAAAAAAGAAAATTTTCAACCAAAACACCCTAGCTTAACATTAGTAAAATGAAAGTAGTAAGTAGAAACTGTTCCTATATATGTGATTTTCAAAATATTGACTGTTATCTGAGAAACTGTAAAACATACTGGTAAATCTGTAACTATTTAAAGAAACAATTATTTCACAGTTGACTTTCACATTTTCGATTAGACTTGATTTGATATAATAGACTGAGCTCTGCGTTAGTAGGAAAATGTATGAATACAATATAGCTCAAAGTATTACATTTTACACGTTGGGATAATAACATATTCGTAAGAAAGTTAACTTACTTTTGAACAACTTGTAGAGGATTTGTGACCAAAAAGTTGAGTGTTATATCAATTCCTATCGTGTTTCCATTCAAGACAGAAGAAAAAACTTCAAAGCGGTCCTTTGGACGAATTCCAGAATCACTTCTCAATGTTTTATTGAGGTACCTATAAAAAAGACTGGTTTCAAATATATCTTTACTGTAACGAATAATAATAATAATAAACGCAGGAGATAACTGTTGAGGTAATAATATTTTGGGATAGGCTAACATTACATTTTCTAACTTGAAGAAAACAATTCTCCAACTCACCCTTCCAACAAAGTTACATTTTTGGTACATCCCAAAGAAGAAAGTATGGTAATTTTCTCAGTAGCTATAGTTGTGTTCAAATATTTATTCCATAAAAAGTCCCAATTGCTGCTGCTCGTATCATCCCTCAACCCATTGCAATACACTATATTTCTCAAATTCTTGTCGGGCCTGAAAAAAAAACATTTTAAAGTCGTAACCTTCTGATGAAGCTTGAAAGTTGGAGTACTCTTTATACTACATAGAACACACACACACCAACTCCCCAGGTAGTGACACGTTTAAACTTTTTGTAACTTGACGTCGGGGTCTCAATCTCCCACTCCCAAGACTCTTCTGTTGGTCTGGCTGATGCCCTGTGCCTCAGTGGGAATGGTTCGTAGAAAGGTGAAAATTTTGATTGTTGGCTGCGAATACTGTTCTTATATCGTGCTTCTTCAGAATTCGGTTCACTTTGTCGGTAACTCTATGAATATGAGGAAGAAAAGCTCTTGGGTGGTCCGTCTGTTCATCAGGCTGTTTGGGATGTGATGCGGGTTTGCGAAGATGGACGGATCTTTGTATTTGGTATAGGCGTTTTGTCGAAGAGCAGATTTGAGTTCCTCTAGTTCTTTGGATCTATTGTGGCTGTCAGTGAGTCTAGACTTACGTATACCTAAGGGAATTCAAAACGGTATTAAACTGGATAAAATGATGATGGGACTCAGCATTGACGTAGCGATTGGTATGAGTTGGTTTTCCGTAAAGAGTCTTTTAGAAGAAATCATCGGATTTTGTGATGAGAACGTCCAGAACTTCCATTGCGAATTTTAGGTCGGAATGTTAGGAGTAGATGTGGTGTAGGAATGTATGAAGACTTTCAAATCTATGAGGCCATATAGCAATGACGCAATTTTACGTATCGGAGCCAACACGTTGGTTTGTGGTCAGAAATGAAAGTGGCACTGGTTTCAAACTCTTCCGTGTAAAGGTTTGAAAGGACAGGAGAGAGTGGAAACGTGGAAACCCATGGGGGAGCCTTTCATTTGTTTATAAATTTTGCAGTAGAAAAGGAAATAGGTGCTTGATATATAGTGGCTGATGAGGTTCAAAGTGTCTAGAAATTAACCGAATCCTATCGTTGATTGTTGAAATTCGATACGTGTTTCTGCTGAATGAATGTGTAATATCCTGAGAAGCTTAGAAGGAAAAAAGCGACGCTTTAAATCCACTGAAATATAAGGGCCTGTTTTATTCTAGCAGAAAATCAAGTGTATCATACTAGAAACACATTGACGTAAAGCACCATTTCATACATGAAGCACTTCAGAACAAATTGTCCTTGCAGCATATCTCAACCGGCGACATGATTGCGGATTTGTTAACAAAATGTTTACCCCATCCTCATTAGACTCACCTTGTTCCATTCATTTTGTACGATGAATATCTATTGCGAGATGCCTCAATGCACTGACTGTTCCCTAGAGAGCAAGCCCAAGATAGTGTTAAACCCTGTTTCAGAATGTCAATGTGATAGGTGTCGTTCAGTCTATCAAATGAGGTAGAATCATAGAGATTTGTCATCAATCTTAAAAGGTGTTTCTGAAAAAAATATGTACAATTTTGCTTGATAGAAAATCGGAAAACGAAATTGAATTACTTATAACCTATGACAAAACTGAAACTTGAATCTGACTCAAAATACAATGAAATAAACAGTTATTGAACTTTATGAATTTTGGACATAAAATATTCAGGTATTGACTCAAAAGGTACCAAGGATTATCGACAAGTTGAAGATATTTTTCTTGGCGTCTATCTTTCCTTTTTGGTATTGTTCAGATTGTTTTTTAGTGCATTCATTATTGGATGTTGAATAAAATTGAAGTTGACTAATTATGCAGTTTTTTTGAAAAAATTCATTAGAGAAATAATGGTTCACAAATATATGGTGTCATATTGTGAAAGTGTAAAACGTTTTATTGGAATTTGAGTGAAAATAATGAGCCATACAAGTAGTCTACTGTATATTATATAGCATGTTTCGATATATGGAAGTATTCTTCGGTTTCCCAAATCTTACCGATATCTGTTGACCTAATACAGAGTCGCTTCCAACTCGTTCTAACAAGAAGTTAAATCCATCGAATGCAACCTTCCAGCTGAAATAGGATGTGTCGTTTGCCAAGAATTCTATTAAGTCGAATACTTGTGAGTAGTTTGTCTTTTGGATTCTTGCTAAGTTGAAGAGATCGTCGACTATTTGAGCTCTGTGTATTTCAGGAATATCGCTAAAATTTTCTGATTTGAGAGCGGTTCCTATTCTGCTCCACAACTCATTGTCATAATTTACTCTGAAGTATCCTGGAAATAAAAAAAAACAATATAAGAAACTATGTTACTATTATCACTTCAAGTGAAAATATATCATTATTAGGTGGGACAAGAAGTATAATGAAAGTATTGTTGTAAATGGTGCCCGAAAGAAAATAACGTCGGCCGCCACTGGTAACCATAAACCAATGGTGATCGCGCGAATGTACGATGATTCCCCGCCACTCGAGAAGCAGCGAAAATAATGCTACCGACTTCGACAGAAATTTCTACGGCGTTCGTTTACGATATTTAAACACCAGCTGCGAGCATATCAACACAGTCAAGTGGAAGCTATTGTGCAGTACGCGAAGTGATCTAGTAAGGCGATAGACGTTCAAATAATAGTTACATATTTAGTTGAAGTGTTTGTTGTATTTAAAGTGAAATAAAGTTAAGTTTGAATATTCAGTGTAGTCAATCATTTGGTGTCGGAAGTGGAATTATTGACTGGAATTTTATTGTTTTATGGTGAAAACAAGGAGTGTCGATTACGACGGAATGGAAAAGCTTGAGAAAATGTTTGAGGCTTTACAAGCGAGCCTGGCGGAGAATGAAGAACGCAGAAGAGAGGAAGAACGATTATGTCGAAACGAAGAACGTGAATTACTACTAGGTATTTTGGAAAAACCGGAAAGAAATAGAGAGGAATCCCTAGCTAGCTGGGTATCCCTGGCGTTGGCAAAATTTGCATCCAGAAACTATCAGAAGGAGAATTTATCACCAGACGTGATAAGGTAGCGGGCAGAGACTCCTTTATGGACAGCTTTGATAGGAGATAAGCTCCCCTACCTCCCGCCGCTTTGGGTTCCCTCTGACCTGGAGGGTAGCAACCTGAAAGGGTCCCTTGTCCAGGGATATGGACAGCCAATTTGAGGAATTGCCTGACCATGGTGTGGTACGGTCTTTAACAGCCTCTAAGGGTGACACTACCTTTCTGACGAGGCAAGATATCATCGTAGCGCTGAAGGAGGATCTTGTCTTGAAAACTGTATGAGAATGGATTGCCAAAGGAGCGAGACCGGAATGGCAAGAGGTTTCCAAGCACGACCAGAAGGAAAAGGGTTACTGGCTCCAATGGGACTCCATGAGCATTCGAGATGACCTACTCACTCGTAAATGGGAAAGCTTGGTTGGAAGAACCCATAAATTCCAGATTATCCTTCCTAAGAAGCGTATCCTGAGTATCCACGAACAGCTTCACGATCGTCGCACTGGAGGGCATTTCGGAGTAAAAAGAACTCTAGCGAGGGTGCGTAAGAGGTACTATTGGATCAATTGCCGCCGAGACGTGGAAGAGTGGTGTAAGCGCTGTGACCTGTGCTCTTCGAGAAAGGGTCCGAAGACAAGGCAAAGAGGAAAGTTGAAGCAGTACCTCAGTGGAAGCTCTTTCGAAAGAATCGCAGTCGACATTTTGAGACCACTGCCTATGACCACATCCGGTAACAAGTACCTTATGATTGTGATGGAATACGTCTCCAAATGGCTTGAAGTAGTAGCCTTACCCAACCAAGAGGCTGAAACAGTGGCAGAAGCCCTGTTGCAGAACGTAATTGTCAAACACAGAGTACCCTAAGAACTACACTCGGATCAGGGCCGCAACTTCGAATCGGATTTATGGAAGAAAATGATGACTCTGTTGGGAATGAAGAAGATAAGAACAACTGTTCTCCACCCACAATCCGATGGAGTGGTCGAGAGGCATAATCGCACCATCAATAACTACCTCTTGATGTTTTTCTCCAGAAATCAAAGAGACTGGTATAAATTGGTTCCTCTTTTTCTGTTGGCATACAAGACCTCCCAACCTGACGCGACAGGTTATACACCATCCATATTGTAAACTGGTAGGGAACTGAAGCTTCCGATAGATGTATTGTGTGGCAGTCCTTTCGATGAATCTCAAGAGGTACCTCTTTCAGAGTATGTGAATGATCTGAGGAAGACACTGGAAATTGTACACGAATTTGCTAGGACCAAATTACAGCTTCCCAGCGATAGGATGAAGATAAAATTTGACAAAAAGTCGCTGCCAGAGAGCTTCAAGGAGGGCGATGCAGTGTGGCTCTACCAACCCCAACGTCGGAAAGGTTTGTGTCCCAAGTTGCAGAGACCATGACAAGGAACTTACTTGGTAACTGAAAAGATAAACGATCTGGTGTACAGAATTCAATTATCACCCAGAAGCAAGCATAAAGTCGACCACATAGAGAGGCTCAGTCCTCACATGGTCGTGATGTCCCCTCTTGGAATTTTGTTCGGGGCGAATAACCTCAGGGAAGTAAAATTATGCCCGAAGGAAAATAACGCCGGCCGCCACTGGTAGCCATAAACCAATGGAGACGTAGCTAAAAGCGCGCGAATATACGATGATTCCCCGCCACTCAAGAAGCAGCGCGAATAATGCTATCGACTTCGACAGAACTTCGGCGAAATTTCTACGACATTCTTTTACGATATTTAAAGGCTAGCTTCGAGCATATCGACACAGTCAAGTGGAAGCTACAGTGCGGTACGCGAAGTGATTTAGTAAGGCAATAGACATTCAAATAATAGTTAAATTTTTAATTGAAGTGTTTGTTGTATTCAAAGTGAAATAAAGTTGGGTATGATTATTTAATGTAGTCAATTATTGGTGAACCCACGGGGAAAAATGTAACAGTATTGAAAATTCGGCGAATGAACCAGTTTTATTAAAAATATTCAAATTGTTACAATTTTCTATGAAATAAAGGTATAAAATATTGCAATCGTCCATGTACGCTGGATCGCCAATCAGAGCGAATGACATCACGCCCCAGTAAATATGGCTATGTTTGTAGAATCTAGAACTTACTGAAGCACAGAAGGCCATATATTTTTATCACTTGTTTTTTTTTGTAAATTACGACTATGAAACTCGAAATTTCGACTTTAATCCCAAAATTATGACTTCAAATTCAGAATTTCGACGAAATTCGTCCTCTGTCTTTCACTGTAGCTTTCACTGCAAGGCAACCATTTGTAAACCAGAGTCCAAATATAACGCATTTAGTATTCAACACCAGACAGCGCTGTTTCGATCTGCCATAGGTCTCATCAGTGGTGCAAGGCTGAAATATCATGGCCCGTGCTTAGAATTGTCTTTTAAGGACGGTTGCATTTGTGGTTCAGCCTAGCACCACTGATGAAACCTTTAGCGGGTCGAAACAGCGCTGTCTGGTGTTGGATAACAAATACGTCGTGTTTGAGCTCTGTTTTCCAACTAGTTGCGCTGCAGTGAAAGCAGGACGAATCTCGTCGGAGATCGATGCCGAAGCTTGGCTTTGCAACAGACTGCTTTGGGGAGCCTCGTTTATCTTTGATATTCGAGGATTGAGATTCCTGTCGATTCCAGAAATGACATCTTCGTCAAGGAAGAAGATATCGCTCTTGTTACTTTAGGCTTACCTTTTAAAAACAGATCAGTCCAGCAAGACTCAAGGAGGATGACGATGATAACATCCACCCAACTTCTGTGGAAGAACTGAAGGGTTATATCAGGGCCGCAAAGGCCAAGAAAGTTCCGAGGGTCGATTCAATAACCAATAAGTGTTTGATGAGGCTTCCTGAAAAGTTCGTTGAAAATCTATTACAGATTATCAACAGTTCGTTGGCCCGCAGATACATTCCCAGAAGGTGGAAGCTTGCGATCCTTGTCATGATCTCAAAACAGGGTCAGAACCTACTGTTCCCGCAGAATTATTTCCCGATCAGTCTGCTCTCGTTGGCGGCTAAGCTGGCTGAAAGAGTCGTTTCGCAAATACTCAACGAAGAAGTTGAGGACCGAAATGTTCTACCTAACTAGTCGCCTTCGACCTGCCTCTGAACCTGATCCGATGGATTGGGTCTTTCCTGAAAGACATAAAATTTCAGTCTGACAACAGAAAGATCCTCGCTGGAGTGCCACAGCGGGCCTTGCTCTCTCCCACGCTGTACTCTCTTTGCACCAGTGACCTTCCGAGGTCTGAGCGTGTGAAGATATCTCTTTACGCCGACGACACGGCTCTCCTCCATGGGTCGAGAGCTCGGGATCGTCTACATGCAACGTGCATTGGACGACCTCGAGCGCTGGTACTTCGAATGGAAGATCCGAGTGAACCCTGACAAAACTCAGGCGATAACCATGGGAAGGATGTCTTCTCCGGCCAGAAAAGTGAGGATCTCTGGAAGAGACATCGACTGGCAAGCGCGGGTAAAGTACCTCGGTCTTCTTATAAACCGTAGGCTCACCTAGAACCCGCACATCATAACCGTGAAGGCGAAGATCGTGAACCTACGATCTACAACATCAAGCAGTCCATTCAGTCAAGGAATCATCGAATTTTTGATTGTGCGGAAACTCACGAAACTCCGTTAGTTAGGGAACCTATAGATTATGGTGTAGACGACCCCTCCCGATAAAGAAGGCCTCGACACTCTTGTCGAATGAGGCCCTCTTGTCCCCAGTTAATGGATGAAACATTTCCTCATCCACTCACCCCAGCCAGGCAGGGGTTTCACCGTGAAGGGCGGTACTGATATCTGAGGACATTTATGCCGCCATCCCATGATCAGTTATGATCCGTTTGTCCTTCTTATAAACACCAGTTGTAAGTGTAAGGGAGTCAGGCTTCAACCTGTTCGAAATTAAGATGGCTGTCGGAAGAATGAAGGTGAAAGACAGAGAAAGAATCTCATCGGCGGTCGATATTGAAGCTTGTCTTTGCAACTGATCGCCTGGGAAGCTTCGTTCATCTTTGATATTCGAGTTCTCTGAATATACCATAGTTGGCGTGTTCGTAAGAGAGGTGTTATCGCTTACTTGAAATTACGAAGGTATGCTTAAAATTTTGACTTCAATCCCGAAATTTCGACTCCCAAGGACTCCTTCAAACTGACAAGCTTTAAAATCCTTTTCGTCCTCTTAAACTGGGAGAGTTCGAGTTATCAAAGAATTGACAACCTCTTCTCGGTATTGACGATGGATTTCAAGAGATACCTCTTTCAGAGTATGTGAATGACCTGAGGAAGACACTGGAAATTGTACACGAATTTGCTAGGACCAAATTACAGCTTTCCAGCGACAGGATGAAGATAAAATTTGACAAAAAGTCGCTGCCAGAGAGCTTCAAGGAGGGCGATGCAGTGTGGCTCTACCAACTCCAACGTCGGAAAGGTTTGTGTCCTAAGTTGCAGAGATCATGACAAGGACCTTACTTCGTTACTGAAAAGATAAACGATCTGGTGTACAGAATCCAATTATCACCCATTCAATCCATTCAGTCAAGGAATCAGCGAGTTTTTGATTGTGCGGACGAGATTAAAACAGTTTTAATCTTCCTCTTGAAGATGATTACTTGGTGATTGAAACACGTGTCGAGGTGTTAAAAATAACGGTTTGATGTTGGGATAAAACTCCATAGATTATTCCGAATACTTGCGTAACTGGACTAATAGTCAGAATTGAAAATAAAATAATAACTTTATCTGATAAGGACATTCGAAAAAGGGAGTTTTATGACACGATTCACATGAACTGAGAACTGTTTGATTCGAAAAACTTTTACTTACCAGTCACTTGATTGTTCAATATTATCCAAGAATCTCCTTGCATCAGCGTTATGTTTGCCGTGCCATTTGGAGTTAACCAAACTTTTGGCGACGTAGAATTGAATTTCATTAAATCCGACGATTTGGTGTAACTGATTGGAATGAACCACTGTGAAGTACTGTTGTCAGAAATTGAGAATGTGGACTAAAATTGAGAAATGACTGTTAATAACTGATACATTTTCATTTTAAATTTTTTATACATTTCCTGAATTGAACACAGAAGTAAACATATTTTGACACTTCTCACTATACTGTAATACAGTGAAATTTCGTCTAGTAGGGGATAGTTTGCAGCTTTACATCCCAGCTAAAAAAAAATCCAACCCGTGTTAGTAATCACACGTTAAAAGGTAAGACCTCGTTAATCCTTAGCTCGCACAAGTTTTAGACTTCTGAGGGTTGTCGTTCGTAGGGGTGCGACAGCTGGTTAACGGAAAAACAGATTTTAAACAGATTTCTTTATTGATCTACTAGCATGTTACTCGTACATTCAGTGTAACGATTTCATACTCAAATTCCGAGTATTGCTTGTATATTTTTTGTTTCTTTTTTCTTCATAAAATACTTGTGGGTAATGAGGATAGGGTATCCACCATTACCCGCTAGCGATCACGATTTCCCGCAATGTAAAGGCATACTATAATTTTGTTATTCTGATTTTAGATGCCGAAAGTACGAGATAGAACTACCACAAAAGTTTACTGGTGACACTTTGAATAAAGCGTTGAAACTTATTGAAGAAGATGGTTTTTCTATACAAAAAGCCACTAAGGTTTCGACGTTTCGTTTTTTGGACCACTTGAAGGTGCATATAAAAAGGAGTACCACTTATACATGAGAAGTCAACTCGCAGAAAAGATCACACCTTACGAAGTGGCATCCTTATTGGGCAAGGCATTTAATAACGTTGCGTCTATTAGTTAAGGAGAGTCGGGATTTAGACCTACAGGTATTCATCCAATGAATCCAGACGTATTTTGTGATGAAGATTTGCTACCAGCTGAATTGCTCTGATCAGAAACTGCTGTCATTCAAAACTTTGATGAGTCAGTTGCAATTAATAGCCCAGCGCCAGGCCTAGAAAGCTCTTCAGTACCTGGCACATCAATGCAAGTTAATTCACTATATTACATAATCGGTAAATATTGTTGTAAATCATGCCCGAAAGAAAACAACGCCGGCCGCCACTGGTAACCATAAGCCAAACGTGACATAGCTAAGAGAGCGCGAATGTACGATATTCCCCACTATTCGAGAAGCATATTGACACAGGCAAGTGGGCGTTACAGTGCGGTACGTGAAATGATTTGGTAAAGCGATAGACATACAAATAATAATTGAAGTTTTAGTTGAAGTATTTGTTGTACTTAAAATGAAATAAAGTTAAGTTTGATTAATCAGTGTAGTCATTTAATGGTCAATCCACGGGGAAAAACGTACCAATATAAATAATTTATTTTATCGGAATGTAGGCTTTCACGGCTGGCGTCAATATTTTGTCCGGTTTCCGAGATTTGCCGTGGTCTTTTATGGTTACAATTTCCAAACGTTTGAACTGCATCTGCGGCAGTTATCTTCAGTGGCGTATCAACTCATACGTCAGGAAGAGTATTTCGACTACGCTACTGAAGATGCCTTCCGCAGTTGCAGATGAAACGTTTTTATATTTATTTATTCATTTACAGCTTTGGCAACTCAACAGAACAAAAGTTCCAATTATAGAGTCGCACGGAAATTACAAAATTCGTCATTGCAATCAAAGAGTTGAGCTAGATCATACTAAAGATAATTATTTATAAATAAAATTACAGTTACCCTACCTAGTGTATAGTGAAACATACTATACACTATACACTACTTGAAAGAGGTAAGTGAAATAGGTCAACAGAGGAAAAAGTGAAATTGTATATTTGTTGAATCCGTGATATTATTGGAGCGTTTAAGAAATAATTACTACCTACTTGCTGGAGACAACTTGAATAAATCACCATTGCGCATGGAATAAACATTTGCCTTGAACGATATCTTTGCCAAACAATATTCTGAATCGATTTTATTGTTCAACAATTTACTAAGAAAAATGACGTAGGCAATTTTCTGTCTGGTTTCTAGTTCGTCAATTTTATATATTTTTAGGCTAGAAGTATATGGAGGAAAACTTTGATTTAATCTGAATTTGAAGTTTAGGAAGCGTATGAATCTCTTTTGAACCTGTTCTATTCTATTTATATATTTTTGATAAAAAGCATTTCACACTATTGTTGCATACTCAAGGAGGCTTCGAACAATGGAATTATGTAAGAGTATACATGTTTCGGGTTTTTTTTTAAGTCTTTACAGTTTCTGACTAAGAAGCCAAGATTTCTCAGTACTTTTTCAATTACATACTCAATATGGTTTTCAAAAGACAATTTTTTATCAAGAATAATGTCTAGACTCCTTATTGGTTGAACTTTTTTCAGAGGTGTACCGTCTATCTCGTAAATGTAATGAAGCTTCCGCTTTTTTTGAGAAAATGTTATAGAAGAGCATTGATTACGATCGAAATGTAACTTATTGGAATGACAGTAATCAGATAAACAAACGATCGATGTCTTGTTGGAGAAATACTTGTAATTTCTGCTCTATCGGAGAATACATTTTCAAATCATCGGCGTATAATAGATAAGGACTATGTTGAAAGCACGAATCAATGTCATTAATGAAAATTGAGAACATCAGCGGTCACAAGTGTGATCCCTATGGGACACCGGAAGAAATTTCANATGAGTCTACTTTAAACTGTAATATCTCAGTAAATACGTATTCAATTTAGTCGAAATAATCGCCATTTGGATAAGTGCAATTTTGCTAATGTACCTAACAGAAGTATATTAATTCCGTCAGCATAAACATTAATCGTCGATTAATAAAGTCGACGAAGGTCGTTTCTGTCGGATCCTGATTGACGTAGGTTCTACCAGAGAGAAAGTTATCGAAGAGTTCGAAAAGATAGTAGTCGATTGGCAGGAGGTCTGTGGAGTATGGTGGGTGATGCAGAACTTCGACGGCGACGACTAAAGTTTGACCAATGATTCAAAAGAGAATGCGGATCAACAAGCATTTCGCGTATATGTGAAATGCTAAGCGATATCTATACTTCTTGGGAGTTAACTAGTGTCAGCATCAGACGGTATGCCTTGTTATGTTGTTCGTTTATGTAGACTTTAATCAAGTTAAATATTTCAACTATATGGCTATAGGATATCACGACAACGGTTGATGGTATCAAAGTTAGGTTTTGCATTAGACTGTAGTCAGGAATTTCTCAATAATTCAATGCTGAAATCATCAGGGTTGTTCATGTTGAAGTCAGCAGAGTACAAACGTTGCATCAGTGGTACAGTTGAAAATCTGATGAGATCAATGGCAGAGCGAAACAAGGTGGGTCTTGTATTGGATCAGGAATGCCAAGCTTTCGGGCTTCGAATCCTTGAAGTAGATTGATAGTCCGAAATATAGAAAATTTTCAATTCAAACTTACTTAGTAGTTAAATAGTCTTGAATACCAGCCCGGAAATCACTACTTCCAATGATATGTTCTACCATGCGGATAATACCCCCACCTGAAAAAAGAACTTATATTTTTCTATGACTTGATCCTCATTCTGATGTGATAACATTTCTTAAAATTGATTTTACGAGTGAAACTTGAGAAGTGGGTTCTGTTACCTTTAAAATAAGATATTCTGCTGAACTTGGACATCACTTCGGCTGGAGATGAAACGTTGGACTGAAGAGGTGAAATATTTTCACTGTCATCCCGCATCACAGACTGTAAAACATCGATGACAAACTGTTTGTCAAGTTGGAATTCTGGTAACACCTGAAGCAGATAATAAATAATAATAGTTAATACACAGAACGCGATATTCTTCAGGAGTACTTTCTGAATGTGGACAAATTTAAGGGTAAATTCAAAAGTTGGTAGGAGTTTATTGTTCATTATTATGAATGAAGAAGAGTACTTGACTGAATTACGTTTGCCTGATAGGGTAAAAGTAAAATAAAATTAAATTTACAAAAATTACAAAGACAGTAATATTTATAGGGGGCACATCCCCTATTGAATATTGATCCATTAATTTTTATGGGACCTCAAATTGAAATTCTCTGCGGTTTCCAAAATTATATACATTGCACCCTAGAAGGCTGATGTTACTGACCGAACAGTAACCGCGGAGTACGATCCGCACGTTTACTTCAGTGTTATGTGGACTGTAAGCATGTTTGATGTACGTTAGTGTCATATATTTCTAACTTTTTGTTTTGTACAATCCGCCCCTTTCCCGAAAACAAACATACATCCGATGGATATCCAATTTTTGACCGAAATATATCTTGAATATCCATAGGATACCTGGTGTTGCCTGGGTTGTAACTCGATGAATTATCCATTCTGAATTGGTCATTCCTTACCTTTCTCATCTTTTCCATTATTACAAAATACAAAGGGGGAAAGTTTCAGGCGTGCCGTCTCTCTGTTGGTGAGGTGGTAGATCAATTCTCAAATAAGCAAGCCCTTTCAAAAACTACACCTCACGATTTGATCTACATAAACTTTATTTATACCTCCAAAAAATTACCTAAACCTCTACCTAAGGTACCTGTTCAATTATGATCACCTGAAGCATATTACCTCACATTTACATCAATAATAATTCTTTCTCGGTTTTTAAGAAAACAAGTTCAATAATAGTGATCTATTCAAAGCCAGTTGGTCATTCATTAAAATGTTTGAATTTTTAAGTTTATTAATTTCCATTACTTCCAAATGATTCAGTTTCAAACCTTTATTTTCTATGTGCAAAGGTAGAATCGTAATGTATGGTAATATCCGTATAGGACGGTTTGTGATAAATTGAAAAATCATGTTCATTCTACTAATTGTTAAGTCCAAGAAATTGATTGAGTTGTCTGCTTCTATTTCAATAGTGAATTTAATTTTCTCATGAAATTTGTTAATATCCCTATGAAAAGTATCTAATTGTCTCTTAGTAGGTACCTGTAAAACATACCAAAACTTCATCCACATATCTATGCCAATACAAGAAATTCTTAATCAAAGTATGTTTATAGATCGACTTCTTTAGTTTATCCATGAAAATTTTCGCGAGTAAGGGGCTTAATGGATTTTCCATAATTAAACCATTTGAGGAAGAATAAATATTGTTGTTAAATTGAAAATAATTTTGTTTGAGACATGATAATAATAATAACTTTATTCACAACGTTTACAGATTAGAGTACAATAAAAAAAAATATGTGAACAAAGTGATGATATATATTTTTCAAATAAAGTTTGTTGAGTTCGAATCGTGAGGTGTAGTTTTTGAAATTACTATGGATCTTCATCAAGTAACGGCCGAATCAATCAGAAAAAAAGGAAGCAATAGATGCATATGTTATCGTGTCTAGTTTCAACCCCCCTGTATTTCCAAAAAAGTCCATCTAACCAGAATCAGTGTAAGTTTCGCCTTTCTTTTTAATATTTCTGGAGGTTGGTTCTGGGATTTAGTGTAATCACTTTCAGTTTTAAAGATTCATATCTGACTTGGTCCTCCTAGTTAATTCTACCATAGTCGTCTTCGTTGTGTATACGTGGGTGGTCTGAAAAGTTTCCAACCTCAGCATGAAGATAGCAGCACTCGTAAACAAAAGCTAGTATATTTTGTTTTTCATCTGTTGACAGTTACTCAGCAAAGTTTCAGCCATTTTGGACGCGCAGTTGTTATTATATCAGTCGTTTAAGTGAGTTGATGTGAGTGTTTTTATGAAAATGGACAAAATCGAGTATCGAGCTGTCATTAAATTTTTGTTTTTGAAAAATAATACGCCTACACAAATCCAAGATGAGTTTGATTCTGGGTGGGGACTCTGCACCATCATTTAGCACAGTGAAATTTTGGGTAGCTGAATGTAAACCTGACCGAAAGACCTTGGGAGATGATAAACGTTCGGGACGTCCAGAAACTGCAACTGCAACTACCGACAAAAACTGAAACATCGCCAAAGTTCACCAAATGGTGCTAGACGACCGCCGAAAAATGAGTGAGATAGCAGAGGTTATGAACATGTCAAAAGAACCTGTTTGTCACATATAAAATCAACATTTAGGCATAAGAAAGCTATTAGCGCGTTGGGTGCCGCGTTTGCTCACGTTATACCAAAAATGTGTTCCAAGGAATATTTACAACGCTCTGTTGGCGCAGTTAGGGCGCGATAAATCCGAGTTTTGGCGCCGATTAATTACTGTAGATGACTTTACATCATTATACGCCAGAAAAAAAAATTGTCCAAATAGTGGACTGCAAAGAGGGAACCGGCTCCAAAAAAAGTAAAAACTGTTTTTTGGATGTTTTTGGGGATATTCATGGAGTTATTTTAATCGATTATTTTCAAAATGGAAAAATCATTACAGGAGTATACTACGTATCATAACATGATAAGCTGAAGGCAGCGGTTGTCTTAGTGAAAATCTACGAATTTCGGTTTGAACTATTTGATCATCCGCCTTACTCACCAGATCAAGTCCCAATCGACTTTTTTTTGTTCCCTCATCTAAAAATTGTGCTCGGAAGACAGAGATTTTCGTCAAATGAAGAGGCAATCACCTTTTATGAACAATTTTTTTCAGAGAAAAACGCCGAGTATTATTTGGACGGGTTACAGAGTTGGGAGCATCGCTGGCAGAAGTGTGTAGAGTTAAAAGAAGACTATGTTAAGAAATTAAAAAATATCTGATAAAATGTCTTGAGTTTTCGTTAGGTCGGGATCTTTTCAGCCCTTCTTCCTTGGTCCATATCTTTTCATAATATTCAGGGGCTGCTGCATGTTTTCCCTCATTATATAATTATATTTACCCTGCATGCCTACGGTACTTCATATAGAAGATGCAGTAACTGGGTTCATCACAAGGTCTCATATTAGTGAAGACGAAAGTCTTACTGAAGACATCCCCTGGCAACCCCGTGTAATGGTCGTTAATATCAATATCCCACTTGCAGGTTTTATCATTAATCCTTATTCTCCTCACCGAATGGACAATCGACTCTAAGGACGTATAATCAAATCTGCCCTTGATACCCAAAAAAACAAATATAACCAAAAAAAGTTTTTAACAGACATCTCAATGATACCGTTTCAATATGTCAAGAAGAAAACAAGTATTTCCATATCTGACCTGTACGCATATTGGTATGCGTGGTTTCCTAAGTCTCTAATATGTCTGCCAAGAAATGGTTTTGATACAAATGACATGAGACTAATTGGTGTCAAGTCGCAGACCCAGGACAGACCTAGGAACCTATGTGAGTGTATTTCTAGCGGAAATTTACGTTATTGAATTGTGTGCGGAGAGATTGAGAAAAGAATCCAACCTGATATACAAGTCAATAAAAATATTCTCGGACAGTCAAGCGGCATTGGAAGCTCTTGGTTCCTACAGAGCAACGTCTAAACTGGTAGTGAATTGCCAAAAACGACTCTCCTCGATAAGAAGACTCAACAGATTGTCTCTGGTCTGAATTTCTGGCCATACTGGCCTGGAAGGCAATGCGGCTGCTGGCTCCCTTGCAAAAGAGGGTGCTGCAAGCAGCTTCATCGGACCAGAACCTGTAATTGGCATCGCTTTAGACTTTGCCAAACAAAGATTGAACACCTGGATGGCAAGAAGATTAATGGACTTCTGGCAGATTCTTCCAGGATTGGCACACTCCAACGCGGTTTATTCACCCTGCGAAGCTTGATACCAAACAGTTGTTGGACTACAGTAAGGATGAACTACGATGTCTAACAGGTCTTCTTACAGGTCACCCTGTCATTTGAATCATCATATGCAGAGACTCGGACTGTCGAAAGACAGTGTGTGTCGCTTCTGTTTGGAAAATTATAAATAGCGGAGCACATACTTTGTGTCTGCCCCGCTGGGGACCGAATCATGTTTTTAGAGTTCGGCAGAGCCGTACTCTTAACATCTGACCTGAAAGACCACTTACCATACAAACTAATCGGCTTCGTTAAGAAGCTGAGTTTATTTGGTCGAGTGTGAATGGGTGTGAGCCACAATAAAACCCTTGCGAGTTGCGGTGGAGGGTCGAATAGACCCACTCACTTTGGACCTAACCTAACCTAACAATTGGTCTCAAAGCCTTCGTCAAATAATTTCTGATTTTCCCGGGATTCGGTATGAAGGTGGTTTGGTGGTTTCAACCAGTCTTCATGTATTGTGTAGGTATGCATCTCAGAGCAAAACTTCCTCTAAAGATTACAGTCAGTTTGAAAGTAAAAGTTTGGTAATGTTTGCAACATTTCTACGGACTACATGTAGTCCGATTCCGGTGACTTAAATGTTTGAAATGAATTTACGACTCATTTATTCTTATCAAAATCTATCAGAATCTTTGCTAGCTGGCAATCTATTCTGGGAGGCCGTGAAGACCCACGAGTTAGATTTGACAATTTTTGAACCGGAGTGTAGCCGAAGAAGCTATCTCTCTTAGAGATTCTCCTCCTGTTTTCGTGAATAGACGTAAATGTTGAAAATTATTTCATACTTCAATATATAATATCGAATCGTTCAAATTTATTGTGGAAAAAAATATATTATTCATGAAAAAATACTCTTCAGTCTTGGTTTGCTTAATTTTTACCTACAACTTTTTTATAAATTCACAAGTAATATTTAACGAATTAGAGAGTACATTATATGCCTAAGACTTATACGTACCTCGTGAGTGGCAAAATATTCAAAATAAGTCGCCAATCCTTCGTTCAAAAACAGCTCAGACCACCATCCCAAAGTCACCAAATTTCCAAACCACTTATGAGCAAGTTCATGGGATATAATGGTGGCAACCAGTTGTTTAAATAGGTTGGAAGATTCTAAAGGGTCCCACAGTAAAAACTCTTCCCTGTAGGGTAAATTGAACATAAATTGAAAAAATTAAATTCAAGAAATTGAAATGAATTAATAAATAGTTGAACAAAAAGTACAATGTAGAACCTAAATGAATTACAGAAAATAATATAATGAAAAAAAGATAAAAAAAAATTACAATCCAAGCTACTCAACGACATTTCGATTCTTAGTTTTATTAATCATCTTCGGTTGATAACTGGCCTATTCCTGATACTTCGAGAGTATTTATTAATCACTTGAATGTTTTGCACTGTATATTTTTGCTTTTCTTTAAAATTTATATTCGGTTTATCCCACTGATTTAAATTTCATCTAAAACAAAAAAAAAGTTCTAAGGGAACAAAAAACTGAGTGTACTTAGGAAAATAAAAGAAAACTAAAATTAAGTTCTTCGTAATACCCGCTGAAACTTTTGAAGTGGATCAATTTTTCAGAAATGATTAGAGGGAAAATTGTTTTCTTCAATTGAGAAAAAAAGACTTTTGTAATTCGTAACATAATATTTACCTGTATGAAACAAGTCCCCAGTTTTCCATTGCGCCATTAGCGAAGTCCGGTATTGCAACTTGATACAAATGACTCAAATAATCATTATAATTCAACCCGGTATAGTTGTTGAAAAAAGATAGCAGTTTGGGCGTTACTTCTTCTGCCCAACTTCTCAGCTCACTGGATTCGTTTCTCGAGCAAACTGCGGAAGTGATGTTGGCAAGAATTACTTTTTCGGTACAAGAAAATTCAGAAACTAAAATGGCAAGGAGATACGTGGACATCGGAGGCGTTGACTCAAAAACGGTTCTTTTCGTGCTGAAAAACAGAAAAAATTTTGAGGAGCTTCTTGAAATATAATTCACGTGTGTTAATAAAGTCCGTTATTAAAGAAGAAAGTAATACAAATCATGAAATTACGAAACAACAAAAATGAATTGGCGCTCCGTTATTTATGACTGGAATAACATTATGTGGTACACTCTCATAGTAGTATTTATTTATTTGTTTATTTGAGTATGGGAAGCTTCTTCCCATAAGAAGCCTATAATTTATTGAGTTGTGGATTTTTTTGCCATTAAATAACACTACAAATCATACAATAAAAATGAGTGAGAAACAATGAATTGAACATATAAATTGACGAAAGAAAGTTAAACATGTATAGGATTTTTTTGGGTTTTAAAAATGTCATACCTTCACATAAATGTCATTTTTCAATGGGCATGATGATTTGATAATCTTTGACTCTAGAGAGAGTTGATTGATACCTACAATTTTAATTATTTTCATGTTTTCAGGTGTAGTTCCAGTAAGTTACTGTATATACAGTAAGTTACTGCCCTGAAAATCCCAGATCAAAAGAAGCTCATGCACACAAGAAATGATTTGTTGAATAGAATAACATTACATTGTGAAGCCATACGAAACGACCCTGGAATGCTATTTCAAGTACAGAGAGGGTGTCTTCGCAGACTAAGAAAATGTATAGAGAGAGAAGGTGGTCATATCGAGCAGTTTCTGTAGCGGATTCTTCATTTCTGTTTGCTCTTGAGGCTCTTGAGTTTCGTTAGTTAAACGTGTTTGCATTATAAAAATTCGTTATGAACATTTTACCTATCATTTCCATTTTCCTTAAAAACTAATATTTTCGAATAATGGTAGACATCTCAGGATAAATGTTGTTGAATTAACGTTATCATTATTATTTCTGCTTTGATAATTATTCATTTCAAATAATGGTGGACGAGCGGGTTTGATGTCGTCGAGTAGAACTACATTTTTATCAAGACTCGTTGCTCCGATCGACTTTCCACACGAGTACTTTTATTCATAAAATTGTCCAAGTAACCTTATTTTGTTGAAAAATATTGAAAAATATCTGTCATTTCAAAGTTTTGGGGTGTGGACCATCGGGGGTAGTCCGTTCCTGACTTTGTAGCAAAACAACTGACTCCTGCATGAAAGCTCATCGACGGAATTCATTTGTTTAGTCAATTACCAAAATTTGGATGATTTTGAATATTCACTTGAAAAGTTATCAAAGAAAAACATTTTTCATTTTGTAACTTCGAGGGCCCGTAACTTGGTTACGAAGACTGGTGATATTTTGACCCCATCTATACATTCCCGAGAGGAAAAGAGGAAGTCCAGGGACACCCTGTATACACTGTTTGTAAAGGATATAAATTCAAAATTCAAAAGTGGTATATGCCTAATTTTAGAATGTATATTAGTGTATCGTTTTATATATTTTACCATTTATTGTCAGTAGTTTTTTCAAAATCGAGTATAAAAGACGGTAATGACGTCACTAATATTTGATATGAACTTGGCAACATCGTAAAATTTATTCACATCACATATTTCAATTTTTTTTATTTCTGTATTCTTGTTGTGTCAAGGGTGGGGAGGTGAATTTCTATGTAATGACGTCATAGTCATTTTTAAAACTTCAATTTTCCTTCGAAATTCAAAAGTTTGTGTGTTACTTTTTGATGAATGAACAATTTTCTCATAGAACCAACAAATAATATTGTTGGAGAGTGTGAAGGTCCATTGTGACTTTTTTTTTGGAAAAATGGTAAATGAGTTGTTTCGAAAATGAAAAATTATTACCCATTCGTAATCGTTGAAGATCTGATAGCTGCGTTGGAGTGAACAGTAAAATTTGATGGACAATCCACGGAGACGGTAAAACTAGCCTTGAACGACGGCTCATCGAAACAGGGAAAAGCTTTTCTGGCACTAGTTGGCTGGAACTGTGTTGTTATCAAATATTTGGTAACCCCTGCTGTGTTGTCTATGTAACTACTTTTGTACAATCCTGTCATATCATCAGCTCTGAGAAGGCCGTTGAAAGTTATATTTATAAGGTAAGTATTACCTGCTTGAAGAGCTGAAAAATAAAATATATTCACGATCACAAATTCGGAGAATAAAAAAGTTCATTGTTGTAACATAACCGCTCCCACTATTTTTCATATCATATGTGTGGAATCACACGTTTAAAGGTAAGACCTCGGGTTGTCGTTCTTAGGGGTGCGACAGCTGGTTAACGGAAAAACAGATTTTTTTTTATATCATACATGAAACTTTTCCTCTCTCCTCCCTTTATTCCAGTGGCGTACTTCCAGTAGGTAAAATAATGTTGCCTTCAAAAAACATCGAAGCCAGAATTACAATCATTTGAAAAATGCAAGAGGACGACTGCAATCGACTTTGGAAATGTTCAAGAAATTGGAATCTAGAGTTATTTGCTAACTGTATAAATATATCAAACAACACACCTCTGTTCAGCTTTTTTCTTCAGACGATTTCATGTTTTATGTGTATTCATGTAAATACTTCCTCTTCATCTATATAATGAGAAGGCTCTGGCATTTTTTCCATGTGATTGGTTATCTATGATCATGACATTAATTAACGTTCGACAGAGTCTGTTGTAGTAATAAAACAAGAGAAATTAGATAATGAAAACCAAACTAAACTACCTATTTAGTTCAACAATATCACTATACCTACTCGTTTAATCTCAACTGCTCACAAAACGACTTCCATTTGAACTCTTCTCTAAACTCACCGATTGATAAGTATTAGGTTGTTTAAAAAATGTTGTCCATTTTTATGAGTCTACTTTAGTAAGTAAGTAAGTTTATTTGACTACGTTACATTACATTTGTAGCAGGTCATACAAAAAGTGTATATACTAATATGTATACATAAATAATTCAATGTATAAAATTTAAAATTTACAAAATGACTATTTTCGATCAAGTTTAATGTAGTAAAAGTACGAAAAAGCCTAACGTAATTTACTA